GTCCTTATAAAAAGAGGAAATTTGTGGCCAGGCATGGTGGCTCACACCTGTAATCCCAGCACTTTGGGAGGCTGAGGCAGGCAGATCATCTGAGGTCAGAAGTTCGAGACCAGCCTGGCCAACATGGTGAAATCCCGTCTGTACTAAAAATACACAAATTAGCCAGGTATGGTGGTGGGCACCTATAATCCCAGCTACTCGGGAGGCTGAGGCAGGAGAATCACTTTAACCCAAGAGGCAGAGGTAGCAGTGAGCCGAGATTACACCATTGCACTCTAGCCTGGGTGACAGAGACACCATCTCAAAAAAAAAAAAAAAAGAAGAGGAAATTTGTATACACAAAGAAACACCATGAGAAGACACAGTGAGAAGGCAGCCATTTACAAGCCAAGGAGAGAGACCTCTGAAGAACGCAAGCCTGCCGACATGTTCATCCTGGACTTTCAGCTTCCAGAACAGAGAGAAAAGAAACTGCTGTTGTTTAGGCCACCCAGGCTGTGCTAGTTTGTTACAACAGCCCTAGTAAACTAGCTCAGTGATCAAAGCAGAAGGAATCCTTTGGGGAAAAGCAAGTCAAAATTTACTGTCAACTCATACATAAGAAATAATTACTTATTTATGAATTAGAACTATTCAACTCATATTTTAGTGGGGAGTAATAAAAGAATAGTAGATAAGGTAACATTTTCATGGATTCAAAACTGCAACATAAAACATTTTATAATAAATGCAGGATGTTTCATGTCTTCCTTTAAAATATGCTACTGTTCATAAAAATTAAAAGTCATACCTTGCCCTGTTTAGCCATGGTTTGAATTAGAAAGTCAGTCCTCACATTGTCAACATTTGGCACCAGAATAGAGCCATACTCTGGGGTGGTATCGGACGGATACAGGTATTCCTGGGTACGCGTGTTCCAGTGCGTCCATGTACCTGAGATGAACAGAAGACATTTCCATCTCCATAGTAATAATTCAAGTCCAAACTGTAATGAGCAGATATCCTTGACATCTTATGAGGTCACCTTCCAAATTCTCCCCATAAAATAAAGATCATTAAAATTAGCAATCTAAGTACACAAGTATGTGTTAGCTGAGTCAAAATGTCCCAAGGAACAATTTCAAGGTGTAAACCTAGGAAATACTAGGAAGTATTTCAGAATTTTTAAAAAAACATATTAGTTTTCAATAGCATGATGTATAAAAATACAGAACACAGTGAGAGTAGCGTGAATCTAAAATCATTAATCACTTTCGAATGTCGAATCTCACACACTTTTCATTAGGCAAAAGATCCTAGGCCTATGCGTATGTATATTAAATATTTAATACATTATTATATACCCATATATATGTACTGCATTTTTTGCATAAATGAACTTTATATATTTATAACCTTATAATATATATATTATAACCTTAAAGTATATATCCAAACAGAGATAAAGATATACAGCTGTGGGTATCTATATACCCACGTATTTGGCAAAAATATACTTTAAACTTTGTAACTTTTCTATAAATTGCTGATTCTACTGAATGAACGACAGAAATGGATCTGATTTGGTTTTTTAAATGTTTCTTAATTCATTGAAAGTTTAGGGCACAATATATTTAACAGGAAGAAAACGTGCATTTGAAAAACAGATTTTTTAAACAGAAACCACTGCCACTTTCTGTCACACACGAACGTTTTCATATCTTACAGCCAAGAATGATACATCTCATTTAGAAAAAATATATATACTGTGTAAATATTGGCCATGTAGGGAAGAACGGCCCCCATGGGTTCCGTCTGGACGGGCAGGTGTCCTCACCGTCGGGCGCCACGTAGTAGTCGAAGGCGGTGTCCCCGGGGCCCGCGGGCGGCGGCAGCTC